CTGCCGTTACACTTCGCATCTCTATACTCAGTTTCAATCGCCATAATCCCCCTTATTGAGCCAGACTTTTGCCTTTAACGCAAAAATGCGAACAATATTCTGGACGTGTGAGGTTTACTTTCAAGCCGTGATTATCTTCGTAAGGATCTGCCCACGTCGCGGAAGTGTTGCATGAGTAAGGGGGGTAGGTTCATTCTCGCCGAGTTCTCAAATTTTCAGCGACCATAATTTTTCCGAAGGTAATTTCGAGTGGAAGCAGGGGCCCTGAATCCACATGGCCATATTCCAATTTCAACGTTCCAATCTTATGCTTGTTGAGCATTTTTTAGCCCTTATGACCGTGTTCCAAAACCGCACACTGCACTTTGATCGCATGGAATGTATGTTTAGTTATAAGTATAACGAGTCAACGATTTAAAACAAGTTACGTCTGGGACCGAACTGAAAACGAGAACTACTTTTTATTTTTATTTTTATCGTATTGTTTTTTTTTGATTCGCGAAAAAACATTCCAGGAACGCGCTCCTTTCTCTGAGACTCTCCTACTCTTTAAAAAAGAACATCTGTATGAGTGAATAGTTACTATTGTCACACATTTTTCTGGAGACTGAATTCGTAGAGCTCATAAATAAAAAGACAGTCGTTTGTTCCTCGCCAACACTTTTTTATTCATTATTCTGCAAACGACTCGAATTTCGAGGTCAATAAACTCGATGGCGTCGACATCCCTCCACTAAGAACACTATCCCATTTCGAATCCTTCACACAACCTTTTCTTAGTGTATCCTCAAAGTTTAAACTAAATTGAACAGGAGTTTGACGCAGATGATCATGGGCTCTTAGACGGTTTCATTCTCTTCTTTGGTGACGAGCGCTATTCGTTGAAATTTGTCACTATGTTTTTAATCACGTTCAATTACCCTTTATTTGCCAGTAGTGGAGGGGGCCATTCTTTTTCATCCGGCTTTGTGTATATTGCATGCCAATGTTCTGCTGTTGAAATGTTCATTAGAAGCAAATACTTTCTTTTTGTCTTTAAAGCGTTGGTCCCACGCAGTCGCATAGTTTGTTTTGTTGGCCATCGTCACGTTGTTCTGCCCTGGACATTTTCTGCCATGACCCGACTTTGAAGTCCTCCTGACGTCTCCACCTCTTCTTTGGGGCTCGTCGCGGTCGCCGGTCTTGCGCTTCGAGGTCCATTACTTTTCTTGTCAGACAAGCCCTGATCTCCGTGGCTGGTGTCCGTACCATCGGAGGCGTTGTTTCTACACCGTCACCTGGACAGCCAGGTTCTGCATGAACGCTGACTGCTCTGATATGCTCGCTTCTGATCCTGTACTGTCACACCCAGTCGCTGCCTGAAAGCTGCCTCTCATGGTTTTTGCACACCGACCAATATTGGGGGACGACGTTCAGTCTTGACATGAGTATTTCCGTCTTATCTTATTGGCATTTCACCAATTTCACCAACATCACTCACTTCTAAAAGGGACCTCCACTCAGCACAAAAAGACTTGAGACGTCGTGTAAACCCCAAAGTCTCACTAGACGGTGAAGGTGTGGAGAGAATGTGCTCAGACGGGGTGCGGGAATGCATCTCAAATTTCACAATACATAGTTTCGGCCCGTTCATCAGGTCGTTCAGTCAGTAACGTATCATAGATAAGGTCAAGACGAGTCCAGAACTCCAATCACCATCTTGTTTTGATTCGCTAGACTCGTCACAAGCCGCAAGTGAAGCTACACGGAGTGCTTTGATGTTGTCGGGACGTAGAAATTTGAGTGGGACTTTTTGATAGATTCACTATGTATGTGGCTTCAAATATGCAGTTGGGTTCATTTGGGATATACTCGCCAAGCGGATTAGTGTATGTGATCCGATTTTGATGTGGAGAGGAAAGTGACTTTTTTTGGCTACTGTATTTTGAATATACAGTAGCGGGACAAAAGTGGACATTTTTGGGCATTTCATTTCTTCCTTCAGAGAAAGATCTAAAGATAAGTTTGAAGCCTTTCTTTCAAATATCTAAACTCTTCAATAGTCAAGGTTTCAAAGACTTTAAAAGGCATGTCATATCATTCTTTGGAGGGCACTGTTTCATTGAGAAGAAATGATGCGTGAAAAAAAACGTTTCGGCGAACACTTTTGACCGCTACTGTAAGTCTGGTCGAAAGGTGGTAAGTAAGCCGTCAGAGTATGAGACGATCTGCAGCGAAGGAAACGAGTGGTTTGAGGATGGAAAGAGTGCTTCATCTTTTTAGGAGTTTCAAGAAGGACACCAAAGATTGCTGTTTCTTAACGGATCTCTTTAACACATTCACGACGACGCCCCTTTTCCACTTTTCGGTCGCGTGGGACGGACGCGATTTTGTGGGCGCCGCCGCCTCACCACATAACCGCAGATTTTGTTTTGTAAATGAACAAAAACATGAATGTCACAAAATAATTTCTGCAATGTCCAATGCGTAAAGATTATCTAAACATATAACAGTAGGATTTCGATCAGAACGACAAATAGTGGTTACGAAAAGAGAGCATTTATTCACTTTCCCCGTGAAGGAATTTAAAAGCATTTTACACTCGATTACGAGGTTTGCCCACCTATCTGTCCATTCCTAGCGCCTGGCAAGCGATTATCAGTTGGCAGCCCATATGGGCTGCCATCGGCGTGAATGTGTTAAGCAACGGTGCTGTCACTTGCAAGGTATACGGGAGAAATATGAGAATGGGGAGCTGCAGTGAATCTTCGCCAGAGCACCAAGCGCACGTTGACGACATGTTGAATTGGCGTTTGTCACGAGTGTTGGCGTCACAAGGCTTTCGATGCTCGAGCCGTATGGATGGTCAAGGACGTTGCCTTTCGCTTATGTTTCAACGAAATGAGGCACTAGTATGGTAAGGAAAGCGAAAACGAGAAATGACAAGGGATAGAGTTCGTCCACCTCGCGATGCTGCTCGCTCTGCTGTACCCTTGTGCGCCATGCAGACTTTGGCACATCTTAATAAAATTATGGCTTTTCTCAATTTATTTTACTCATGGTGACCTTGCACTGGACAATCAATACACAATAAAGATAAAAAAAGGATAAAGCATTTGCCGTTGATCAATCCCTTTTTGGGATGCGGCACGCATTCTACTTCCATTTGTACATTCGTAGTGGCGTTTGAATGCGATGTGGCCTATACAATGACTTGCGGGGGCCAGCCGATGTACAAGTCAGTGTTTTTATCCTCCCAGACAAGTCTGGTACCAATTAACCGACCCCGGAGGGATGGAAGGCTTGGTTGGCCCGGGCGACTCACGACCCAGGATTTGATCCCCGGACCGCTCGCGTGGTAAGCGCGCCACTTGCCACTACACCACTTCCGCCCTCTTCTATTACAGAACAAAAAAGCAGTAGTCATTTTAACACGTTGACGACATCGCGCGTTTTGTGTTTTTGAACCTCGTGGGACAAAGAGCAATTTTGCGAGCGCGTGGACAGTTACTCATGCTGCCCAATTGGAAAGTAGTAAGTGCTATGAAAGCTACCACAACATGATATCATAGTTCTAAATACTTATGTAGATCATTCTAAATCATATAGTAGGTGGGTTTTAATACCAGCACGGAGAAATGTGGCCTTGAATTGAAGCTACGCCTTGCATTCAGATGCCATTCGGCTAAATGGCAGATGGCGGTGTCTCGAAATGCGGTCGTAAGGCGGCATTATCAACGTTCTTCACCGTCACTTTCATCGCGTTCACTCTGTCGGTGATCTCGTTGATCAGTCCTGCATGGCAGTACGTTTACCTAGAAGTAAGTCATTTCTGATCAACACTACAACGGCCGGCTATTACCGAAAATTCCGAGCGCGTAAGACGGTTAAAGCAGACACAAGAACTCCTTGTTAATTGTGGGCAGAAATGTATCATTTGCTGCTGTTTGCGTTCAGTGTCAAGGCTTATGGTGAGTTTAGAGGAAGTACCACAGGATGCGACCGGATGCCATGTGTCAAAGTCCACGAATACTGACTCTGCCCCGTTCAACATTTAAACATTGCCTTTGGTTATTACTGAAAAAAACGCATCTGAGATTTACTATGATGCACTCATGATATTTGAATAGCTATGAGCACGAAACCCCGAAACATTGCTCCACATTAAAGGTCCGCCTCAGCATAAGGACCGAAGGAAATCGTTCACAGCTTGTGGCTGGGTTGTGCCTTCAAAGCGATGTATCACAATCAAATCATGGGTAATCGTCTCTATGAATAAGGTTGGTGGGTCCACAACCGCAGGAATAGAGCCACACCTACGATTCAAGATCCATGAGGCGATAGCAGCTCAGGAATAGGAAAGTTCCAGTGGTCACCTCCCTACCGTGATGACATAAATAAAATTTAGTTCCTTTCTCCTGACCTGCGCGGTGTTCTCTCATCATTGTATGTCGTTCTCTCACTTAGAACCCAATGCCTTTGAGTACTTGCCACGTAAGCTTTCCTAGTGCTAATAAAAAAAAAGCTTCACTTTGGTGTACTCGTTTCATACTACGGCAAGACAAACAGATCCTACTATTTCATACTTCAGTCGATTATCCCGTTTTTATCGCACACTTTGTCTAAAGAGATATGGACAGTTGGGAGAGTTCAAAATGCTTTCCGTTTTTAACAGCTACGATAAAGAATTTTCTGGAATCAAGAAATCTATGATAAATAGGTACTGCTGAGGGTGATGAGGCAAAGCGCTAAAGCTCGATATTCTCGTAGTATGCATTCTTTGTGCATAAAATTATATTATGCAAAAAGGAGGCAGTGAAAGTTCTGGCACGTCACCATATCTAATCATCATACCGTATTCTCTAAAATGTGAACTTTCTTCTTAGACTGCTATTAAATCGGAAATTCTCTTTAGCTCTGTATTTGCTCTTACTGAATATCTATTGGACAGTGATCTACTTCAATTCTTCAGAACGGACGTACCGAACATCAGCATGGACTGTGGTTAGACTGCAAGAGAGACTTCTCGTTTGATTATGGACGGACGAGGGAGTACTATGAAACTCTGTATAGGTGAGTCTATATCATGCCTCATCACCCCTTCTTTAGCAGCAGATGTGTGGTGTGATGTTACTCTCTTTTGGCAAATCTGAATTTGTACAAGGTACACAGTAGCCATGCGAAATAGTGGAGGAGAGCACATCCCCTCAATCCATGATGTAACGTTGGTGCATCTATTTTAAAACCTTCTCTCCACTGAAAGATCATCCTCAAACTGGATCTCATCATCTATATTCTATGCGACCCCATTAAGCAGAATCCGAGGAAAAGTAGCCCTTTTGGTGGGACATTTTCTTTGCAAAAAGCTATTGCAATACAACACAATACGTGCAATGGACTCGGTTTTCAAAGCATAGCGCTTTATCCACGCTTCGAAGACCCACATCAGTTCCATAATCCGATCTGATCTGGGATCGTAACTTTCCTTCCGATTTCTTAGTTAGCTTCTGTGACTGTTTAGCATGAGTACCATAATGGGCAGCTCCAACTGAGCAGTGTAAATTAACGGAAGGTTCCACAAGAAGCTCGGAGGTAGAAAAGGGGGAAATCACTTGGTGAAAAGACAGGTGGACCTTCAATGGTGGGGACCGACATGCAATTTGCAGCAAAGGATGGCCCCGGCGATCTAGCATGACCTTACCGCGCCGCTATTACCGCTGTCCACCCACTCTTCACGCCGGATGGCTGCCGCCGAGAATAGAGGGCATTAGAGTTGTTGAGGTCTGCAACGATGTGACACGCCTAACGCGCAAAGCTGTGTCTCCAGGATTTTCGAGTTCGATCCAGGAGTTTCATGAGTCATATGTAGCTTCAGCCAAACATGTAATCCGAGTTGTCGATGTGGTGTAGGAGGAGCTGACATCTGAACTTTAAACAATTATTTCTTTCAATTCCACGGTTAATGGTAGTGACTAGCCAGAATGGAAGGCAGGAAAGCGCTTCTTTTCTCTATTGCTTTGCTGAGTTTTATACTATGAGAAATCTCAAAATTCTTCATTAATCAAAGCGACCTTGACCGAGCTTAGCAGCAGTACCGTGAAAGGTCTTTACTTTCAAAAAAAGAACAATCAATTTATGCATTGAGAGATCTTATTGCAGACATCATCGATCTTTGAGCAGAATTCCACTGATGTTCATGAATGTGTAATTTATTTGATGTTGTGAAGTAATGCATTCGTGTTTGCAGACGGGACCTCCAAGGATCTCCTTTCGACATCTTCTTTCTTCCGCCTTTACAATGTGTGTACAAATTCGATTACTACATTGACCCCGAAGATCTCTATGACCACAATCACGACGAGAATCGCATTCAAAACGACGCTTACCAGCATTTATTTCTAGGTAGTGTTTTTATTGGATAGTAGTTGTTATCGTTGAGTGATGATTTTCTCGATCTGTCTCCTGCTTTTCCTCTATGTTCCAAATAATGAAAATGAGAAGAAGAAAACTTAATTCCAATAATTAATAATAATTAAGTAATAATTTCAAAATCGAGCTTGCTCACGATTCTTGAGATGACGGGATGCTAAAGGTCTGGTTTGGCTTTCTTGCGGTTCTTGTTACTCTACTCAAAATATTTTTAAACCAGTGCCTGTGAAATCAGGGAGTATTTCAAGCTTCAACTTGTTATCGGTGCATTGGTTTCTGCCGCTCAGCATATAGCCTGTCTTTTTCCTTGCATAATGAGAAATGGAACATCTCCCTCAAATGATCCACATTCCCCTAGGTATTCTTTACCGAAATCCCATCATTAAACCTGTTTGATGCATCTGATTTTGCAAGCACTATACTAATGTTCGTCAAAGTAGAGTGTGAGCAGAATTTGAATTCAACATTTCAAGGGGTACAAATCGAAATGTTTGGAGTAACATGCCAGCGCTGGGATCCGTAATGTATCGCCTATCATACTCTTTCGATCCCGAATGAGAAAAATACCTCACAAACTACAACCAGCTGAGGTGCACAAATATGCAATGTCTTTATGCAATACTATGTCTGTATGTAATTATGTCTGTGAGGCAAGCAAAACTTTCAGGTGCCAAGAATTACGGGAACAGATTTCACCACCACTGCTCTGGTCTTGACCCACACCTTAGTAGATATGATTGTGGGGAAAATTTGTAAAAATGGAAAAAAGATATCTCACTCACTCAGACCATTCTACGGCCTTTCCCTCAAGGGAATGCTATCCTTTTATCTTGAAGCGGCCCCATGGAGTTGACTCACACCCCATTATCATCAAAATTGGTGGGCGATAAAGATTGGCTTCAAGAAAAACGATTTTCTTTATTGCGGGATCCTACTCGCTGTGAAAATGACAAAGTTGTGGATTGCTAACTGCTGTTCTGGCCGCAGCTCGTCTTGCATAAGCTCAGAAAAACCTTAGATTCGGGAGGTTCGACTAACGCGCACCAGATTATTTACTTTACCAAAATAATTGTTCCGAAAAAAACAAAAAAATCGGCGAAAATTAATGCGACCTCACCCCTTATGAAAATTACGGGCTTATAGACGGCCTACAATATCGTCATGGACTGGCGGAAATTCCTCATAATATGCGTTGTTAAATCTCAGAACAGTCGAGCTCAAGCTGAAATACTAGCGCAAGCCTCATACGATTGCCGTTCCCAATCAGAAAAATTAGCCTCGAGCTTTAAAGCTGATTCTCACCAAGGAAAACACCGGATAAAGTCTGGTATTCACTTATAATCCTTTGTTCTACAGGGTGGAAAATCGCAGCTTTGGCAGGATGTGGATCTGCGGTTGTGTTCTCCGCATCGGCCTTGCTGTTCGCTGTGCTTGCCTTTTGTCATCGAACTTTTATTTGTGCCTCTACAGTAGTCGTCACAATTGCTGGTTAGTTCTATTTACTTCAAATATTCTTCAAGATGCGCTTTCATGAATTTTCTACTTACCGTTTTCACATTTCAGCCATATTGTCTAGTATTGGAGTGACTGTTTTTTATGCATGGGCAAACTATCAGGACAACAAAGTTATCAAAGAAGACGGGGACACCACCTATGAGGTGAGAGGTTTTGCATGCTTCCATAATGCCTAATGTTGAGCCTTTTGAATTTCTCGTCTAAAATCTTTTGTCTTCCAGCAAATTCTTGGGTGGGCTTTTTACTGCCAAATTTTCACCACCGTCATTCACTGGCTTGCATCAATGTTAGGCTGTTGCGTCACCTCTGTCTCCTTCAGTAAATCCAGAGCGAAATTGGTTAAAATTGAGGTGAGGTCTTTCAACAAGGTTTTCTCCAATGACTCTGCTTTCAGCTTTTAATGTTTTAGCTGTTTAACTCAAAATTTAGTTTTTGTTTCTGCAACAGCAGCACATATAAGGTCTTTTGAAGAAACGCCTGCAGAACGCCTTGTACTGTCTGTAATTAGTAATCGCAGTGGTATTTAGAATACTGCACTCCTTTGCCACATTTCTATGCCTTGAGACCTTCGAATTCCGTGAATGGCTTTGGGCTTACGACCCTCCCCCTTGTCATCGCTAAATGCGGTCTCCTTCATTGATATTGGCACAACGAACGGTTGATCCTGGATAAACCGCTCTCTGAGAAATGACCAAACCAGGCTACGGCTGAAGACGGTCCAAACGGTTCTCACGAAATCTCTTGAGTGATTTCTGTTGTTTGTGTTTTTATTACGAACAAGTCAATCAATCTGAGAGTGAATTACACTGAACAAGCCATCCTTAATACTTGTCGTTTACATTCCGAAAGTTTCAGGTCGTTGAAGGTGGTGACGAGAGGCAGTTACTATCGGGACCTTCCTCATCACAGCCTTTCAAAAGATCATTCTCTGTAAGTCTTTGTAGAGCATGCAACTGAATAAGTGAATTCCTCCCAGTCTTCCTTCCGATTCGTACATTTCATCACATTTAGGCAATATACCGCGTCGATTCTCAATCTCTACGTCAGTGGGAACGTGATTACATGAGAAACGCCAGAGAACGGCAACAGCAAAGCGAAGGAGTGAGTTACTCTCAAAAGAACTTCTTGGGTTTACGCGATCATTCTGATGCATTCGCAGAGTTCGTTCAAACGCACGGCGTCTATGCCGAACTTCTCGAAAAAGCAGCGCAAAGCCGCTCAAAGAAAGTTGGCAGACAGGTCCAGCGCGAGTTGTTCTCCTCAGCAAGCAACATTACCGACACCACACAAACAGGCAAGTTTTGCAATTTGTGGTTCGCTCGTTTTTTGAGCGCTGCCACAGAATGAAACAGCGGGACTATTGCTTGCCGATTGAAGATTGTCATTTCCAGGATCGGTGAACACTTTGGAGTGGAATCAAGCGCGAAGACCCACTCCAGGCGTCATGCCTCCTACGCGGACCACCCAGCCATCGGCGCTTCCTGCCCTTCCAAAACTGAAGTCTGCGTTGAAGACACCACAGCAGTCCAGGAAGAGTGTGAACATTGATGACAGCGATGTGACCTACGAGTGCCTGCCTTGCGATGCTTCAGCAGGCGTGTCAAGCCTGTTTGGTGGCAGGTGAGTATTTTCTAGAAAATTCGAAAGAAAAGATTACAGTAGATCTTATTCAATGGGGTGGTCGATGAATTGGCAAGGGTGACCAATCTGATAGAGTTAAGCAGATTGGTCAATATTTTCTGAATTTACCCCTTCTCTTACCCCCATTTGGATCTACTACGATCGACTCTGTTCTCAATAGGCATACCGCAGAATACACCTTCCTCCTCCCTAACAAGGCGGGGATGAGGTAACACATAATTTTGTTACCAGATCCAGCAGCGGTTAGAAAATTAGGTGAAACTCCAGTTCGGGGAGGGGGGGGGGGCACTCCATTGCTCTCCAATACTCAAAATAAGGATGATAGCGCTCATAACACCTAGTAGACTCAAGTTTTTCTGATAAGTACATATCGGTGTAATGTGGAAGAAACCCTGAGATGCTTTCCGCCTGTCTTGGTCCAAGGAAACGGACAGGAGAATGGACATGTCTGCTTAGGCCTAGGGGTGGAGGAGCTTAAGGGTAGGGTGAATATTGCTTGAGGATTCCTCAACGGCACGTCGAGGATTTTCGCCTGATCCTTTACGTTCTCGCCACCTGCGAGCCGTCTGTGCTCTCCGCGCGTACATTCACTATCGGCTCTACTCTCGCACAGCAGAGAGCGATGGTCGAGGAATTCCTCGACCGTTATTCACCCTACTCCAGGGTGGATGGCCTGGGCAGAAAAGTGGATAGGATGTGGGCAGGTGTGTGGAATGTAGGACATCCACCGGTCCTTATCAAAAGTACGCTCGAAATGAGTCGTTCACTTATTATCTTATCCGTAGTGTTCGATAGCCCAAAGAACTGCTCTCTAGTACTACGGATAAGATAGCAATGGAGTGGCCCCCCCGAACTGGAGTTTCACCAGAAAATTAATTTCATACAATATTTTTTGCGGAAGTGAGATAATAGTGCCTTCGGATCCCAGAGTTTTACCACTACTGCAATAGAAATAGCAGTCACATCCGAACATGTATAAAACGCTTTGACTCCCGAAAACAAAATAGAATATTGGGAACAAGTTTCATAAAAACCCTGCTCCTTCAGGCCTTCATCCTCTCTCCGAGGCCATCAGTATGATCCAGTTTATGAACAAATCGGCCAAGAAAACTACCTGGAGCCGAACAGCGTTCGAATGCGATCCAACCAGGCTCTGAACATTGATCAAGACAAAAAAGGTGAGAATAATCGAGCTGTTGATTTTCCATTCCTTCTCGCGCTCTGATAAAGTCACATAAGTTCCAGCTCTGCTACCTACACAACCGCT